AAATGCATGTTTAACAATGGGGAAACTGTAGGATTGGGATACGATGGGATCCTCCCCATTCTCTTTGGCGCCCTGCGACTTCCATGTGTTCCCAGATTTGAAAAATCTTTTGTTTGGACCACGTATGTTGGAGTTAATGTGGACTATGTAAAAAAATAAAAATCTCCGTCTTAGCGTCATACTTTAAAAGGGAAAAACCATTTAGTAATATATCTTACGAAGCTATTGCCATTCTTAAAACATCACTAGCAATATAGTTGGTTGAGATATTTCTCTGAACACCATTGTGAATTGTGACCCGATCTGATAAGCTTGCCACGCACGTTTTATCCATGACAATTTTCATGGTTGTATAAGCATGAAAAAACTAGATAATTGACTGATGTCGGTGTAGCTCGTTACTCTAGTTTTTGAACTAGATTGCGATCGAGAAACATTTTTTAAAGATATGGCTGCTTCCAGTGGCGTATATCAGGGGGGCGGTACCAAATACTGACGATTTTTTTTAGGTGAACTTTTTGTCGTAATCACGAACGTTGCAGAAGGTAACTCGCATGTTTTAAGTTTGAGAATTAGGATGCTTTAGAACCGAAGAGTACCGACACTCGGGTTTAACATTATAATGGTAAAACAGTATTTGTAGGTAACGAAATGAATGGGAACTGGAGACCTAGGTCAAAAAATTACACAGAAATGCTGTGTCGTTTTTTAGGGGCACAATGCCATTTCTCTGAATAGATTTCATCACTACAAAATTAAAAAAAACATATCAAAGGTAAGAATTAAATACTTAAACGATGTCAAAAGAGCCATTAAAGGCATACATGTTTTTATTACGTTGTAAATCCAAGAGTTCAAAAAAATCAGACCATGAAATTCAGACGCACCATGATTTTTTGCGCAAAGGTATAATAGATAATTAGAATTTTTAGAATTCCTGATAACCTTGTTTAACTTTCCACGTTGAGTTTTAACAGATATGATTTCACTGTCAAAAATTTTTTGATATTTATTGTTCATAAGATAAGTAATTATACTGACAAAATATTCTACTCCTAAGGTCTTTGAACCTTCCACGCGTACCGACTTGCTGATTATAATAATTTCTCCATAGGTCTGTTCCACCGCACATTTGTTGTCCCAGTCTATAGTTGTAGGTTTTACAGATAATATTAGCATACATCCGTCAGCTAAGGGTGGAGAGGGGAAGGGGAGCGGTACCCTGACTGTCTACGCTCGTGGTTGTGACTACCAGCCACCTCCCCCCTCCACCTCTGGGCCCCTCGAACTGAAGTTCTATAATTCCACTGCCTGCTTCCAACCAAATGAGAAGTCCAGAATCTCATGGTACAGTGCCTGAGCTGAACTCTTTTGCTGTACTCCTTCTTCTGTTACACGTGTAGCAATTTTATTGACTTTCAAGACAAAATAGACGAAGTCGCTACACGTTTTGTTGGTAACTCACCCACAGAGATCAGCTTGGCGCTCTGCATGCCAGCATGAAGAATGCTGCCATTCGTAAAGCTGAGTATTGATATTGTGTGATGGCAACGAGAATTCATCGATTACGGAGATCTTACGATCGGCCAGGAACCCATCTGGAAAGTTTCTCAGGAAGGCCATATTATAGAAGTTTACTTAAGAGGGCAGCATGCCATAGCTGGTCAAAAACCTTTGTAATATATTACGACGGGAACCTCATGAAATGATTGAATAAGCTTAATCTATGATCATGTGGTGATCATTACATATTACAGTACGGCTTCACGATTCCAAATGACAATGACACAAGAGATGCACTTGAGTTTCCTCATGCTCCCTGTAGAACCTGTACGTAGTCTGTTCTGCTAGAGTCGATAGCATCAAAGTCGATTTAGATGGTAATGTCTTGTTAGGAGACCCTCTGTGGTCTTTCTATTAAATAAGAGCAATTCATCTGTAAATGCAGGCTTTTGTCCCTTGATTAACTCTTTTGTCTGCCTTTGACCTAATCGGTTCCAAGGTTCCAGGTTCCAGCTTGATCCGTGTTCTCGTCAAGCTCATGGAAAGGTTCTGGACCTACAAGGCGATTTGCAGCATTTTTTTTGGCTAACCCGTCCGGCTTTTCATTTGTTTCCTTCCTGTCCTGGTACTCGAAACATTTTTCCCTTATTTTAGCTCCCCAGCTGTCTCTATTCGTCATTGTCTGTCAGAGCGATCCGTAGGACTTTTGCTCTTGTTTAAAGTATCATAGCTCAATAGGTCTGTAAGGCCTTGCCCAGATACCAGACAAAGTCAGGGAGAAAGAATGGAAGAAGAGAGTAAGGAAGGAAGGAGAGCAAATGGAGGAAGTGTGTCAGTTTAATGGACTTTTTTTAATTTTTTTAAGATGATTAAAGCTCTAAAATATGTACATATCGCCCGTCGCTTTCATTTTAAAATGAAATAGGGTGCACTGGCATTGTTAATTACTGTTCGGGGATTTTAAATTCATCCTAAAATTAATTTAGAGATTGATTGGAGTAGAAAAATTGATAATTTCGTTGGACCTTAGGTCGCACGATTTAATTTACTGAACTTACGCTACTGTGTAGTCTACTGACTCATGCAAAAAAGGATTGCTATGCGATTTCGCTTGACTATAGCGTAGCTGCGCCTGTTGTTTGATGCAGTTAGTCGCTTAGGTAAGGGGATGTTGAGGTCTCTGTGGAGAGTATCATTGAAGGCATACCATGGAGCGTTGGAGCAAGGTTCTGTTCTGTAAAACCTGCAAACTACGAGAATGCGTTTTGACGAGAAAACACAAAGCCGTACATGCGTAAGTGGTCACTGGTCTAATGACCATCTTGTATAGCCGAAGTTGATCAAACTCAATTTTGCGGTTCTACATAGCATAGGGTAGAGTTGCCGAAACGTAATTTGTAATTTGGTTTCTAAAGCTTCATTGTGCTTCTACCAGGTCATCGTCCTCTCACGGTGACATTAAGATACTTGGCAGTGTTTTCACATGGAACGCGAACTCCGTTCACTGAAACCTCAGCGGGGCGTCGCCGTCGTAACGTTTTTTAGTACAATAGATAGCCTGAGTTTTCGAATGAATACCTCGTCTACCGTACTTTGCAGGCTGTCGTGAACCAGATGCCCAGACGACTGGGCCACCAGGACAGTGAGATCGGCATAGATAGACTTCACGGTTGCTAGGGCAAGGGAAATCATGGATAAAAAGAGAATAGAGGATTGCTCCAAGAGCCTAACCCTGCGGGACACCGGCTCTAAGAGACTGTGTTGGCGACAGAACATTATTAATTTTGTTCTGAAATTCCCTACCTTCAAAGAAGAATTTTAAAAGTTTTAGGAGCCAGAAGGGGTCCCCAGTTCACGCAATCCCCTACTAGCTTAAACGATATTTGCGTTTGATCATCGGTGTCAGAAACCATACTGCCAAGCTTTTCGTGGTCTATGAGATCCCATACTATGTGCAGAATGAAAACTATTTACAGTTGTAGGATGATTAAACATTCTTTAACGGTAACAACAGCTATATTGTTATCGAGCTTTTTTCGCTATAATGTTGAGAGCTATTTGTTCCTTTGTTGTTAAGCGCCGGCCTATCGGAATTATACAACTCATTCATCTATTATATCGATCCTGTAAAAAAACAATTCATTACAAAGGCACAGACAGAATTTCACTCCGAATTACCAGTTCTCTTACTGGTTGCCGATGATCCAGATTTAAAACATTTATAAGTGAAGTGGATTTTCAACTGAAACAAAACGGATGAAAATGGTGTTAGGACTGATTCTCTTCTACTGATATGCCAACGGACTTGCTCGGAGCTGTGCTCCAACTTTCAGGCCTGCCAAATGAACACAACGGGTTTCTGCTTCTTAATTTAACTCACATTGAGATTTAACCGCTACAATCGCTTCCAAGATGACTTTAACATTTTTTAAACTGTCACGGCACCTGATTATATAGGCTCTGCCTTCGTGGTTGTTTCGGTATGAAAAAACAATCCAATATTTCAATTCTATTTCAGTCGAATAATATAAATTATGAATTAGTTTGTTTTAACTTACCACGGCAATTAGTTTTGTAAACACGAAAAGTTTCGATAGATACTTATTTTTTTGCTTATGTTGTCAATCATTTTCGTCGGCCTGTCTGTTTGTCTGGTCGGTACCCCTTGACTTCTTGATTGATAACTTGAAAAATAGATTTTGATGAAATTTTGACACAACGTCGTTGCTGTGCCTTGGACAAAAAAGTTCAATAGGATTTGAAAATCGGTTAATGGCAGCAGTCTTATGAGCAAAAGATGGCATCAGGCGGGTTGACTCTCCACTTCCCACGAAACGCTATCATCAGTTCATAAAGGATGATGTTCGGCACATGTTAGACCCTCTAATCGGATCAAATCAGTCGTACAGGCCCATACAATTACATGCATAGACAATCGACAATCTTCCCTGCCTTACCGATAGTACCGTCCATCTGGCAACGTCGCCCCCGCGCATACCTCACCGCTCGCTGCAACCACTCGTCATACTCGGCGGTGCGGTAGTCACGGCACGAGACTCATCGGTGATACCCGTGGACGCAGACAGAGACAGAAACGCGAGATTTCTCTATATTTCAAAGTTTTAAAAGGATGCGTAGAATCACCGGACGCGTCTTAATATACTTACATCAAAAAATTGACCTGCAACTCCAGACTGACAACTTTTAGCTCCTACAATTTTGTTTCTGGCAATGAGCAGGAGCCTCTGACACGTCAAAAAATGGAGTTACTACTACTACCACAAAGCTTTTTTGGCATAGGCAACGTGTGACAAAAAAATCGGTGATTACAATTAGGTACTTCCAGTGGTGTTTTTTTTAAACAAAATATTTTCTGGAAGTAAACCTGTGTGCTTCTAAATTCCCACGTGTATTTCATCGTGGTGGATAGCGTCTTGTCAACTTATTTTTGTAAAATTTTCCTTCTGCCTGTTTATATATATTTTTCTTTCTTCCAGAACACGACTAGGGGAGCGAATGGTCAGTATGAACTCAACTTTAGTAGAAACAGTCAGCATAAACTATGAAGATTTCAACGAAAGTTTTCTTACATGCGGCACCTGTTTATGTGAGTATGCTTATTATTTATAATTTTGGATCGCTGGTAATTGTTTATGTTTATTTTGAACACAAGAGTGCGATAATATAATTAGTTTTTAAATCTATCGTTACCAACTCTTCTCATTCAGAAGTGGATTGAAGTGCTGTTATGATAGTTACAGGTAGATGCGATGAAAATCAATCAGTATCGTCTAATGGTTCAAATTAAGTTACGAAAAATTGAGCTCATAAGAAATATGGTAGTGGTATCATCAGTAATCTTGAATATTTTTTACTCAGCCACCTACATTTGTGTTTTGATGTGGATATTGATTAGCTAGAAGGTTCAGATACTAAATTTATGGTTTATGGGTGTCGAATTAGGCGAGAAATCTGTCGGTTTCCACCTACTAATGGTTCCGCACAGTATCTAAGTTTTTAAACCCACTCGTTCCATTTCCGTTCGTCTGGTTCCAGGACTACTAGACCTATAACGTACCTATAAGTTGCTAATGAGCAGTGAACAGCACTGTCTACGGTTTATCATGTTTACAGAAATGGAAATCAAACATCTCCATTTCAATTCATGGTTTAAGTATATTAACGCACTTTTTGAGTCATGTTGAGTGGTTGATACAAACACAAACTCGTCCAAATATCTAGTTAAGACTTAGAAAATTGACCATATTTTTAACAAAATTTACTAAAAACAACGTTTTCTGTTGTTACAGATAGCATTTGGACTGGTGCGTTTTATGTTTTAAGTTTGAACTTTTTCGGTAGTGTGTGCATGCCTTTAGGTTGTTCTTTGCTATAATAATATGTGAATAACATTGCACTCTCGTGGAGTCATATCAACCTTTTGCTTACATTCAAGCGGCAGCGAAGATAGCCCTGAATATCGATGTGCCGCGAAGTGCTAGAGATTAAGGAACTGTCTAAGATTAGTTAAACTGAGCAGAAACCTCTTCCGGTATCGGCGATGTGACTTATTTAAGATACAACTCTCTGAAATATAGATACAAGATACAAAATAGGTATTTTCACCTTGTTTCTGTGACACTTTTAAAATTCTGTTTGTATCTTATATTTAGATACCGTCCATTTAGTATTTCAGTATTTCGGAAATTCTGTTTGCTAAAATTCTTTTGGTAATATGTAGTTGAATCTGAAAAATATGTAAAAGGCTTTCTGAAAGATATGAAAACAAAAATCGGAGGATTTTGACAATATTGGAGTGTATACGAGGGGCACGCTGTATATTTTGAGATGTGCATTAACTATACTAGTTAAAACCGGTAACAGTGCACTATTAGAAAGAGCAGTCCTTCATTAGTATTAGTATTGCAAGCGTCTTACAGTGCACGTGGTGTACACAAATTTAAGAGGAAACATGGAGTTGTCTCGACAGAGTAATCGCGCAATGATTTACCATGAGCTTAAAGTCTGTTTAATTGAACATCAATGAAGCTAACGGTTACAACAGGCATTTCGTAATGAAGCTCCGTCCCGAGCAAGTTTCGCTGGTATGCCGAACTTAAAAGAGGGCGTGTTTCATTGGATGATGAACGTAGTGGTAGGCCATGTTCTAGTGTGACTCCAGAAAACATTGCTAAAGTTCAGCGGCTGATTGAAGAAGATTCTCGCTGCACATATGCGACTATAGAGGCAACTCTTGGGATAGGATCCGCAACAGTGCACACCATTTTGCATGACCATCTTCATTCAAAAAAAGTTGTTGCAGAGGTACAATCCTGCATCACGACAATGCGTCTAGCCACACTGCCCAACTAACTGTAAACTATTTACGCCAGCGCCACATCAAAATGCTAGAACATCCGCCTTCCTCGCCAGATTTGGCAATGTGTGACTTCGGGCACTTCAAGGATTTGAGAAAAAATCTGCATGGTCGAAAATGTTCGTCCGAAGAGGAAATAGATCAAGCAATTAATCAGTGTGTTGAAGGCAATCCAAAAACTGACTGGCTAGAAGAATTTCATTTGTGGAAGGTTAGGTTGCAGAAGAATACCTTAAACATGAATACTAGTTTTCGATAAATAGTTTTTAGTTTTCGTGTATCTCAAAATATATAGCGTGGCCCTCGTATGAGAAGAATTAACAAATCGTTTTACATGTTCTTAGAGGACTCTGATTCTTCTATTGCGAAAATAGTGGAAACACAGCGTCTACTGGTAGCACCACTGCGATACCTAAATAAAAAGATAACAGATTAAAGAGCTTAAATGTTTATCCAGCAATAAAAAGAAAATTCTCAAATATAACATAATATGTTTACCAAGATCTGCGCCTAAGGAGCAACTCTCCTCTTTTAGAGGTATGATAATTAGGTATTATTCAAGAAAAAATTATAAAATGCTTACTGACAATTAGAACCTTAAAAGTCTCTTTTGTCACCTTTGTCTGATTAACGCGTTTATTCGTAAATAATTCATGTAATGAAATAAATGTATCCTCAGTAAAATGTTCGGTCAGTCGTCAATGTACAGACTAGTTGGTTAATATAGGAAAGAGAGTACCAATTGTACAAATTGGTTTATATTCATACATTTTGCAAATAATCAGTAAAATATGAGCTCCTATACAGTAATGCGTCTCTGCAATTATTACGAGAAGTTTCATATGATCAAAGGTATTATAGTCACTATCTGACGCTTTATCTTTTGTACTCACCTTTAACAGCAGATTAAACGATCCACTTCACATCACCATGCTACTCGCACCTGAATAATCGAGATCGAAAACAAAACAACCAAAAAAACAAGAGACTTTTCACAACAAAAACTGAATTTAATACCGCGGTACTGTCATCACTGTCAGTGATATTTATAATTATTCGATATTCGGTTCTTTCGAATGCTATCAAATCAGCTGATCTTTGTAATCGCAACGTTGACAGAATCTCATCTTTTCCGGAAGATGAAAGATGATTTCGAATGTAAAGAAAATTAATAGGCAAACTTCTCACTGGCGCCAGACAATTTTTATTGATAGCATCGGGAGGTACCTAGCAGTGTAGTGTATAAACTGACACAGTTGCTGTGCAATTTTGATTGGGGCGTTATGTATGCATGGGGCATGGCATTATAAGTTTCGTTGGTTGGGTTGCCAGGAAACTATATTTCATCGTTTACCTGAGCTGAAAATAAAAAATACACCTCCCCACTGAAATAGGCATTGTCCTTTATTCTTTGTTTTATGACATATATCTTTATGGTAGGTGTGTGAGTCTATTTTGAAACAAACACGGCGGAGCGAGGTCTCAGCTCGCTGTTTGTTTGGGTTAACGCATTTTAAAATAAACAAAAGACTGGTTTTGTGTCAACTACCGTGCTTGAGGAACTAGATTTATGTTCAAGCGATTTTTTTGTATCGCTGTTTCATAACAGCCGAATTGTTCTTCGAAGTAATGGCTGCAGTAACATGCAGGTGGGATTCGATAGACACCTGGATTTGATCATACAGGGTGGTAGCTGAACCATTGGATAGTGATGAAAAACTGGGCGATCTGTTTAGAGCTCAGATATAGCATTGGTTCACGTAGTCTAGTATAGCCAACCATATACTGCATTCCGGCGTCCAAAGATGATTATGAAAGGAGCTGGTGCCCTCTATGGGAACGTAGCAGAATACAAAAATGACTAGAAGTCCACTTGAAAAAAGAGTTGAGTATTTGGTTCTGCTACCGTTTCATAGATGCCGCTAGTATCGTCAATCCTTTTTGTCCTCCCTAATGTCTATTTTAAATGGTTATTTTCAGGAGTAATACGTCAATCAATGCAAGAATTTAACAAACCTCGATAAATGCAGCTATACAATTCTTCTAGGAAATGTGAAATGGTTTACCAAGGAGAAAATATTATTGATCTTAGTAGTTCAAACCTCGGAACAACAAATTTTTCTTAGTTTTTTTATTGCAGTTCCGATACTTCGTATTTAGGATAGATTATGCTGATAAATTCCTACTCAGTACATTGGACTTTTCATGAGCAAAACAAATATATCAACAATATCACACTATACAGGGGAATTCATAAAATAGGGTTAGTAATTCTAGTGGAAAAATACATTGAAAACTATACTTTAACGAAGCATTTTAGGATATTTCTTTAAGAAACTTATTTTTTGACGTTTTTATCTCCTACCTTAGAAACATTGCTATTATTTTTGAATCACCCTTTCGAAAATACTACCACCATCAATCTAACTGCTAATACTTCTTCTGGTGTGGTTGTCTCGTTGATCAACTACTACTGTGTTTGAAAGAATAACTACTATTCCAAGAGCTGCATCAAGGACCCCGCACATAACAAATAGAAAAAATTCAGTATAATATATTTCTGGATTGGAATTCGTTATTGTTCGATAAAGTTGACCCAAACCCTTCGATATGCCAGAAGCACATGAAAACAAAAAAACTTGAATTAATAGTCAATAAATCACAATGTTCACATTAGTGCACTTTTTCGTTTCTTTCGCCTTCAAAATCAATAAGCCCTTAATTCGAATTGTAAAGGTCATAATCAAAGACAACTAAACAACCACGACTTTTCCATGCCCTTGTGAAGTGAACTGTCCGCGTGAACGATTTTTTTTAATTCTCGATCAACTCATGCCAGATCCATTTCAGTGTCAACATAAAAAAAATAGGCTTTCCGTTAAATAGACCTTGTAGGGATCATAGCCAAGAACATGATACATCCCAACATATTCCTAAAAATAAAAATAATTTTAATTTCAGAGAACTTTAATCGACACATTCACCATTTTCGAAAACCGGGCAAGCTTTCTGCCTCTACTTCTCAGAAAATAATCATACGATTGCTTTGGTCCCATGAGAAGTTTTGACCAGGAAAGCGAGAAATATATCATACTCAATCTTCAGACAAATGCACTAGGACCCATTTTTTTAATGTTTTGTACAGGGTCCTTTAATACTCGCGATTTTTGTGGACAAAAACATAACAGTACTTACTTACTACAAAAATTCCAGCGTCTTTTGCAATTGCGGCCAAAAGCTCAGTTTTTCGCTGAAGTCGACGGGAGACCCTAAAACTCCTAGTTTCCTACTCTAAATATGTCGTCGCGACACTTTAGCTTTTCTTAATAGCTGTAATCGGAATCAGCGTCCCAGCGGATCTCGTAGGCGGAGCCAGAATGTGTGCATGTTGCATGCACACGTGTTCCCTTGCCAGAGTCCGTGTGGCGTTCCCCCTTTCCCATGTATCCCCCTATAGCCCCACGGTACCCAAAGGGTGCTTAGGCATTAGGCCTTCGTGGTAGTTGGAGTATAAAAAAAAATAAGTAGATAGATGTTATTGAAAAAATATAACCTTATCCATTTTTATGCGGATATTATAAACATGCTTGAATCACGTTTAAATAATATTCAAGTGCGTGCCTGTTGAAAAACAACTAAAAAAACTGCAACCTTGCTTTTTTGCTGGTGAAACAATACAGGGGATGGTTTGAAGCTAACAAATTCTTTTTCGAGTGCTTTTTTGCCGATCATTTGGCTTGTAGTCCTTATCAGCCTTCCTAAGCTCGGGCGAGCGGTAAGGACTATAATTCTTCCGACCACAAAAAAAACTCACGATATGTGATCATGTGAGCTCTTGGAGCAAGCTTTGCGCGACTAAAAAAAATTTTGTGGACTCTTTTCAGGTATGTACGATGGCCAAGAGCACACGCCCAAACTCCTACAATGCTCTCACACGGTGTGCCTGCACTGTCTCACCCGGATCGCAGCTTCACAAACCAGAGACACCGGGTCGTTTAGGTGTCCCATTTGCAGGGAGTTGATCACAATACCCAGGGGAGGTGTATCGGCGCTACCCCCGTCGTTCTTGGTCAACCAGCTGCTTGATCTCATGTCCAGGCAGAGGAGAGAGGTGAGGATATTATAATTTTTGGTTGATTCCAAAATACTTTACAAATGGCCCAACGGCGAAATATACTGAGTGACAAAAAAGGTAAACACCTACGTATGTTTATCCGATTTTAATAAGTTTTGGCATATATGTTCATTGTCCCTTTGTAGTAAAATGTTTGAATTTTCAGCTTGATTCATCAACTGACTGCAGAAGCTGGTTCAATAATGTAATCCACGATCTCTTATACACTCATTGACACACCTGGGCATCGTGGTCGATATCCTGTTGTGGTATCTCATTCTAGACTACCGAACTTCGTGAGTAAGAGCTGCTAAAGTCTGTGGAGGCAGTGACGAAGCATCCATGTAACCATTGTTACTATTGGTAACAGTTAAAACTCTTAAAAATAAATAATTTATGACTACTGTGAAATAATTGCATTCATTTGTTTACCCAGCAATATGTACTAGTAATTTTCATTTATGGATACACTTGATAGTCCGTCGGGGACAGTCGGTGCCGGTTCGTGTCTGATCGCGGTCGCCCAAGTGCTTGGGCCGCTGCGATTATTATGTAGGCTTGTTACCATTTTTTGATTTGGTTTCTCACTTCTCCCTCGTTAGTAATCGTTTTGGTTGCCGGCTGTACTGTGCGTGCGATTAAACATGGATGAGTGTCGCTGCGTAATCGATTAACTACTTGAAAAGTCATTCTCCTTGTATAATTTTGAAGAAAAAAAAGGAAATAATTGAAAATGGAATACCAACTTATTTTGGATAATTTTAAAAAGGAATAAAAAAAGTAGGTCGATATTTTAAATTTACTTGGTATATTGAAAACTCTTGGTTATGTGGTTGCAAGAAAAACAGATTGTATTGTTTTCAACAAAAAAAAAAAATGTTTGGGCCAGCAACGATTTAAATAGTTTTAGGGTTCTGAAGAGGAGACATGAAATTTCTCCTTTACATGTGAGATGTGTAGCCAATTTGATTCAATTTAGCAAAACAAGAATCGGAAGTTGCCTTAACCAAGATTTTAGGCAGCACACTTATAGATGCTGTATGTAAGAAATCCGAACATCTAGAAAGGTCTGCTGTTTTTCGGAAGGCTTGGATAAGTCATAGCATAAGACGATGAGGTATATCAAGTGCCGCAGACGCCCAGTCCAGCAATGTTTACCTTAATTTATGATGTTCAGTTGTGAGAGGTAGCACCCAATGTGGGCGATAAGAAAAATGACCAAACTGTCGTATTCGGGGATATACCGTACGGATACCAACCATCCTTCCATGCTGTTCAAACCAATGATTCGCGATGGCTCGAGCACTACTGAATCTGTCTCTCAGAGCCAGGAGTCTTAACCGTCGGTCTTATCGCTCTGTGGTCCCTCTGGGACGTCCAGAACCCATTGCTCGCTGAAATCGATCATTTAACTGTCACCGTAAATACACGCAGCCACCACAAAAGCTTAACAGAAAAACCTGACCATTTTATCACTTGTTGTTCATGGCAAGATAAATCGATATGTAAAAAATATTGAATTCTAATAACCATACGTAGGTGTTGACCTTTTTTTTTGTAACTCAGTATATATATATATATATACCTATATTCGATGCAATTTTCTGCTTAGGCAACGTAGTTGCCATTTTTTGTTTGTTTGATACAGGGTGTGTCACGTAGAACTGCAGCGATTGATTACTCGAATACTTGAAATGGGACAATATTATGAACATTTGGAGTTATGGTATAACTGACGGAAGCAGTTCGGCTAAAATATTTCCAAAATGGTGGAGCTTGCGGTTGTACCAGAAGTAGATACCAACTTGCTCATCTTAAATGGAATACCCTGTATATTATTCAATTCTTAGATTCAACTCGAAATTCTAAATCACATCAAAATTTACGTATATATATATATAGGGTGTTAGTTTGCTTTATAAACTATGGTCCAAAAATGTTTCCTTACAAACACTCGGGGTGTTGAAGTTTTAGGAAAAAAATGGAAATTGATTAATGTTTTCAGAACCGCTTCAGATATTTCACTGATATTTAGTACGTAGTGAAAGTAAATAAAGTTGCATATTTTCCAATACAAAAATAATTTTTAGATTTAACAGTGGCGTGCGTACGGGTATTGTCTTCGATATTTTTAAGAAAAAAATGGTACGCCAATGTTTTTGCCAAATAAAAAATATTTTTGAATTACCCTCTCAATTTAAAACAAATGATCTCTCTTGAATCGATTTCCTTCGATGCGCCATTTTTTAGTAAAAAAATAAAAACCGTTCTAAAGTCCGAGAAAATTAATGTAATTAATTGAAGAATGCAATTTAGCAATAAATATCTAGTTGCTCTGGAATATGTCACTATCTTTTGACATCTGACAAGTCTCTGTTATCCAAATCTGTTCGCTGTGACATCTTTTTCATTATTTAGTTTTTACAATCTTGTTAATAATGGTGAATTATTCAAATGCAGAAATGACGGAAATGCATTACGTGTATGGCCTTGCCGACGGTAATGGTGAGCAAGCCAGACGGATTTATCACCAGAGATATCCCGATCGTGCTTTGCCAGATAGTCGAACCTTTTCTAATATTCATCGTCGTCTTGTTGAAACTGGTTCTGTCCGGAAAGGGACATCTGAAGGTAGACCTCCAAGAGTGAGAACTCCTGAAATTGAGGAAGCAGTGCTGCACGAAGTCGAAGAACATCCTGAAACGAGTACGAGGAAGATCGCTAGACACTTAAATATTTGCCAAATTGTTTGGAGAATTTTAGTGGATTTTTTGAGATATCCTTACCATATTTTAAGACTACAGGCATTACTTCCCATTGATTTTCCAAGGCGCGTGACCTTTTGTCAGTGGTATCTTCAAAAAATTACACAAAATCCGCAATTTGAATCAATGATTCTGTTCACGGACGAAGCTAATTTTTCTCGAAATGCGATTCAGAATTTCCACAATAATCATTTGTGGGCAGAAGAAAATCCCTATGCCGTAACCGAAACCCATTTCCAACACCAATTTTCGGTTAACGTATGGGCAGGAATTATTGGCAACCACTTTATTGGCCCATTCTTCTTGCCGGGACGACTTGACGGACAGACTTACCTCAATTTTCTTCAACAGTTGCCTTTGCTGCTTGATGATGTTCCGTTAGTAATAAGAAACAATATGTGGTACACGCATGATAGTGCACCAGCGCATTTCAGTGTAGCGATTCGTAATTTTTTTTCAAACTGTTTATCCAAATCGTTGGATTGGCCGCGGTGGGCCCCATGAATGGCCACCAAGGTCCACAAACCTCAACAGTTTAGATTTCTTTTTGTAGGGCTATCTTATACTAGTGTACACAAGTCCCATTAACACTGTAGAGGAATTAAGAGAAAAAATAGTTGCAGCTTGTGATAGAATACAAAACACTCCAGGGATATTTCAACGAGTGCGCAATTCCATGAGAAGGAGGGCGGAAGCATGCATACTAAGTGAAGGAGCAATTTTCAACAATTTTTGTAATCATTCCGTTGGATTTAATGTTATGTTTATGTTGTCAGTTGTTGTTGTTCATAACCCCTAATGTGTTTAATTTTTCCAATTAAATTAATAATAATTTTGCAAGTTAGACAATAGAACGGTTTTTATTTTTTTACTCAAAAATGGCGTATCGGAGGAAAACAATTCAAGACGGATTATTTGTTTTAAATTGAAAGGGGAATTTAAAAAATATTTTTTATTTGGCAAAAAACCATTGGCACTATTTTTTTCTTGAAAAATATCGAAGTCAATACCCGTACGCACGCCACTGTTAAAGCTAAAAATTATTTTTGTATTGAAAAATATGCAGCTTTGTTAACTTTCACTACGTACTAAATATCAGTGAAATATCTGAAGCGGTTCTGAAAATATTAATTAATTTCCATTTTTTTCCTGAAACTTCAACACCCAGAGTTTTTGTAAGGAAACATTTTTGAACCATAGTTTATAAAGCAACCTAACATTAATTTTTTATGTAGATTCACACCCTTAAATATTCTCATATCATTAAGGAACACCCTGTATATGGAAATATTGCATCTTCTATTGCTTAAATGCTTCATAGGGCTTTTACAATAAGATAATCTCAGTTGGCCATAACCGGAATCGGACGAACTACTAAGCATATTACGCTGTCGAGGTATTTAGTTTTTATTTCTCGCTCGAACTGAATTTTTCACACAAGATTATTACCATGCTAAAGGACAAAGGCGAGAAAGCCTTGCAAGCTCTGAAAGCTTTCCTAATGGCAGTCCCCAAACTTCACACTTCAATGTTTTTCGAGTTTCTAATAATATTTTAGCGTAATTAAAACAATTATTTCTTTTTAAAATCTAACTACTAAATTTGTTATCGACGTCTTTCAACTCTGTAATCAATTCAACGGGTACTGAACAAACATCACCAGTAACACTGTTGTGACCACCCTGAGGTGTGTGGTACTTGGATTTTTTCGATACCTACGTATTTAAATAGATTTAGAATGTGTGTCAAGCACTGAGTTAATCTACTTGACCTTTTTGCAGGTGATACCAAAATGTTCCGTACACATTAACCAGGAGTTACTATTCTGCGAGACCTGCGACACAGTTTTCTGCACCTTATGCACCGGCGGTTCACACAACGACTCTGCAAACAGCTGTGAACACACCATCATACCTTTTTCTATAGCTATCAAGCGGATGTCAGAGATATTGCTATATAAGGCCAACGACTGTATATCGAAGGTGAGCATTTGAATCTTATGCATTCTTTATGTGGGAAAATCTTATACGCATCATAAAAATAAATCGACAAACTCGAAGCGGTTTACTCATATACGAGGTTGGCTAAAAAATAACCGGATTAAATTTATAACGGGCAAAAAACCTGCATGCAAGCGCCAAGCGTTATATTTCCGAGTCATGTGACATCTCCCCTCTCCATTCCTGCCGCGAATTTGCCTGCCAGTGGCTCAGTAGATGCACAGGTTATTAGCTACGTTGGATGGTGGCCGTGATTTTCGGACCCTTTATTTGCAGTCCGTCGGAAAAATGCTGACTGCTTTGAATCAACGATGTGACAATTGACTTTTTTTGTTAAACTTAGGAAGACCGCTACCGAAGCCCATATTTTTTTTGAAACAGGTTTACGGCCATGAATATTTGTCACGTATTTAGTTGTTTCAGTGGTTTAAATGGTTGAATAAGGGGCGAGAAGAGATTGAAGATGACCCACGACCGGCACGGGTATTATCCAAAATCCTATAAAACGTCAAAAAACCTATAAAATGTCATCTTGCAGACTAGGTAGTTTTTAGGGTGCAAACAGTCACTCCATGTTTACTCACTAGGATCGTTGTGAGCGTCCATCTATGGAGGAATGACTCAACTACACTCATTGTTGGTTGCATATAAGCCGAGTAGTCTGTAGTTTTTAACCCTGAGAAGAAAGTTGGTTGAACAGCAAGATCGCATCTAGATGATTATGTGTATTGATCTGCATGTGCATAAACTCAGAGTGATATTTGCTGTGTGAGAAAATCATTACTGAATATAGTGTCAATGAAGTATATCTATTAGCTGTGCCCGAAGGGTTATTTATATGTTGTCAATTCTGAAGACAGGTTATGTTCAAAGTTATAAATTACGATTTTTTACGCATTTTTTGAGGAGAATTACGGGAAATCACTACTGGGCCCGCGTTGTATGTAATTACTGTTAACATGTATATGACTTGTAATTCGACAGTGTACAGCGAATATAATTATTTCTTATCTCTCTCATTTTTGAAATTCAGCAAATTTGTATATGTAATTTCCAGATTGGATAAGAAAAAGTGAATGCGCAACTAATTTCTACCTTTGAATCTCAAGTAAGTGTATTTGAGTCAAGAATCCAATGGAATTATCATCAAAACACATTATTAGCACACAAATCCTCACTATGCACATAGGCATTACCGTTTCCTTCTAGCTATAGTATATAACTTACAGCTTAGACCTCCAGTAATGCCATCTCTAAAGCAGATTTCACCTCTCGTCAGAACCAAATATTGATAAGCTTTTTTTTTATACTCCAACTACCACGAAGGCCTAAGGCCTAAGCACCCATTGGGTACTGTGGGGCTATAGGGGGATACATGGGAAAGGGGGAACGCCACATGGACTCTAGCAAGAAAAAACGAGTTCACAAGTGTCCATCGGCTAGTGCTAAGTTAACATATTGTAGAAAAACCTACATAATGTCCTCACACCTGAACAAAAGGACTTACGGTTGAACATTCGTGCTGACATCCAGAGTACCATCAAAAAGAAGCCTAAATTGTTGGAAAACGTGATAATTCGTGTTTCTCCATGTATGAAGAAACCCAGCGTCAACCGACGCATTGGAAGGCTCCACATTCACCGAGAATGAAGGTAGCTCGAAAATCAAACTTCAAATTCAAAGATATTTATGATGTTTGTGTTTTTTGATACCCGTGGTGTTGTGTACATAGGATGGGTTCCAGAAGGTCAAACAGTAAATAAAGGTTACTATCTCAAGACCCTAGCTACTATCCGTAAACGAGTGAGAAAAAAAAGATCTGACTTGCAGAGAGACAAGACGTTAGATCCTTCATTATGGCAATGCCTCGACCCACACTACACTGGATGTCAAGCAGGGGATCCCACTTTTGGAGCATCTTTGCTCCATGTGACTTTTTTTGTTCCTCAAGGTAAAAGTCACGTTAAAAGGATACAGTTGTGAATCAACTGATGGACTGAATCAGAAAGAGACAGAAACCCTGAACATGCTTACACAAAATGACTTGCAACACTGCTTCAATCAGTGGAAAATTAGTATGAAACGGTATCGGGATAGAGAAGGGGAGTAGATTGAAGGGGATAATGTCAAAGTTGTGAAGGAATAAAGTAAAATAATGTTATAGTAATAATCCGGTTATCTTTTAGCCATTTCTTGTATTATATGGAAATAAGACAGCATAAGCACTATCCACTACCAGGATCGAATGCGAGAATGCATAGCAGCTATCGGTTGGAACTGTAAAGATCTCAGATGGCGTTGGATAACCCAGTCACTACTGTGACCGCCACAGGCTGACGATTCTGGCGGTATAGTTGATGTGATTACTTGCCATTGAAGAACTAAACATACTGCTGTCGTCCGTTCAGGTGTCAATTAGTTGTTCAATGGCGAGTAGATTATATATACTATACCGCCAGAATCATCAGCCTCTAGCAGGTTATCAATCGCAAACTGAGATAGCAATCGACAGCTGCTATTCACCTCGCATTGGCGGATTCTTGTAATAGTTGGCGCTTTGTGCCGCCTTATTTTGATTTATCCCATACCTCAGATAGATCATCGTTGCTATGCTCTCGTTCGTTGTCCACTTCAGGCCAAGCCTAGACCATGCTGATGACTTGCCAAATGGCACGAAAGCAATATGTTTAATTCGCATATCGTAGTCCAATCAAAACGGGGCTTACCTGAAAACGGAAATCTTGAAAACTTCATTAGAAATATTGGAGCTGGACATTTCGTGGTGCCTGAGATCGTATATTGTACGAGTACTTTCAAAAACTTTTGAAAAAACCTTTAGGTAAAGTTCCTCAACGATTGGATTAATATGAGAAAAAAATGACGAGAAATCCTCAAAAACTAATGTCTTATTCATATTTGCGTATTGTAATACTGGTTTCTGAGTCTACGTGGAAAAGTGTTGACCAATATTGCGCATTGGATACAGCTTGATGAATTTCAAACAGGGCTACCAAAGCGAAGATGATTTGTTTTAGTTTTTATACGAGTCCACTTGAATTAGACGGAAAACAATCCATAATGCGAAAAAACCAGTAGTTTTCGATTTGATGTACCACGAAATGTCCATCATACGTTAGCATATAACAGATAGCGGGTGAGTTCTCAATGTGTAATCTTCGTTATGTGTTACTGTAAAAGATCTAAAAAGTTGATAACAAAAATTGTAGGCAACTATACGCTTATTCCTTGGAAAACATATAGTGTGATTCATAACTATGTGTCAACATAAACAGCCCTTTTTAATGAAAAACAATATACAGAGTGTTCATTTGATGACTTCCCACCACGGACTTATCGAAAACCACTGATTAAGAGAAAAACCGCCGAGACACATCAAAAGATTTGTCAAAGGGGACCACTTTTTAACCAAAAACTACTTTACCCCCTTTCACCCACAAAAAAACGTTTTTTCATTAGCTAACTCAGGCACAAGAAGGCGTTAGTGCCGAACTAGGGAAGTTAGACGCAGCGAAAGAAGCATGTATAGAGAAAGTGAACGAAACCTTTCGACATATACAGGAACTGATGGATCAGAGGAAACAAGAAATATTAGATAGCGTGAATTCGATTTGTGCTGAGAAAAGGCGGGTCCTTGAGGAACAGCATTCTCTGATTGAAAACGAAAAAAATAAAGTGAGTATAGAGAAAACTTTATGAGTCTTTTGGTTACTAGAAAATTGTTTTTTGGTGCAAAATGTTTCCAATAAAATTGAATTGACATGCTACGAGGCGTTTGAATTTTCTCTTTGTCATAAAACCGTACGCCATTGTTCCTCTCATTTTTTCAATCTATTTTTAAGAAATGTGACGTGAACTAAAGACGCACGATTTTTTTCCATATTCCATCGTGCTAACATATATGCATACTAATTTGTATTCATATACTATAATGCTTCTATTATTTTGTTTCAGGTAGAACAGGAATGTCAAGGTTTACAATATCAAGTAGAAGTAAGAAACATCACGCAAAGAATAGAAATACTGTCAGAAAAACTAGATGCAACTACAACCTTAGGTGAACCTAGGGAAAATGCTTTCCTTACATGTGATTTCAATTTGAACGATAGCTTAGAACAAATTCAACAGCATCTGTGTGTTTTAGGTAAGACTCACATGTAATCTATATTTCTAGTCTAGGAAGTATCTTCGCATCTGCTCGGAAAATTATATTCTGAACCTCTTTTTATACCTAGTCTTATCCAAAAAGGATTCCTAAAGTTTTACTGACACGCTAAATAGGCTTTTGCGGCACTAGGATTCTTGCAATGGCCATATTTGAAATCAGACTTAGATCATTAATTTATAGTCGCGGGAAATTTTGCATATCGAAACTTTGACATTCCCAAAAATTTGGTGTGTAGATTCCTAATTTGATGCAATTTTGTCATTAGGACCTACAAGGTGTTCTAGACGGTAAAAACACTATCAAAAATAAATATTCTTTCTGTTAGACCCATTTGATTAAAACGGGCTGTTTCTGTTTCAGGTAAAGTACGAACCAGTACGACCTTCCCGAGTCTCTGCACCGCCCAACTAGAAGGAGAAGTTGTAGTGGGTATCGAGAACTGCGTAAACTTGGCAACGGTGGATTACCATGGTAACGCGCGTAAAACGGGCGGAGATCCAGTGAAAGGCGAACTACTATTGGTCACTACCGATCAAAGTGGAGGGGGGGAGGAGTCGGTACCCGTTAGGATAGTTGACGGTGACGATGGTGAGTATCTCATATACAGGGTGTTATAGAATATATATATATATATATATATATATATATATACAGAAATCGTTTGCTTTCGTTGTGTTTAGTTTTGTCCATTTTTAATAATTGTACGCCATTAATTGTAGTAAAAATTGTTGTGTGATAGGTGTTTCTTGGACTAGTCATGGTGTTTGTTGGAATAACAGTCATCACTATTATTCCTTTTTGATAACCATCAGCCAATTGATGTTCTGGTTTATGAAATAATTTTTGTTAATTTTTTAAGTCGCATCAATCTGACTTGTAAAATACTGATACTAATTTTTTGCAAAAACCTGCTATTTTTACCCTAAACATTGAAACTTGTCAGCACGAACGCCACTCATGTAAGGCGCTCGAGAAAACAATTTTAAAATCTTAATGTGATCTTTGATAATACATTTGTGTGTATCAAAATTAAAATTCATTCTATCTCAATCTGCTATTTCAGGTTCTTATAAATTGTACTTCCGTGCTTCGAAGCCTGGGAGATATGGAATGAAGATAACTGTGATAGATAGACCAATTAGAGATAATCCGTTGTACTTTGATGTTACTGAACACAACAATCCTATTGCTGTGTATGGATCTAGAGGTATGCACTTATTATACAGGGTGTCCACAACGTATGGATACCATACATCAAAATACGAGGGTGGATCAAATATAATCGGAAATTTTACAAATACTTTTCTTAGCTAATGACGAGCACTCTCACAGAGTAGGTCCTTGCAGTGTAGTGTATTATGAGTGGGGATAACGCGTGGTGAGCTAGCTGTTTCAATGCGTCAGTACAGCCATGAATGAGCAACCGGTTTCACCGTCTGTTGCGCACCGAATTATAATAAAGTTTTTGACGAAGGAAGACGTTAAACCGTGCGAGATTTTGGTTCAATGAAGACTCAGCATGGATGATACCCTGTCTAAAAGTAAGGTATTCGATTGGGCCAAAAAGTTTAAGAGTGGCCGAAAACGTTTAGAAAATGTGAATCATAATCGACGTCCAAGATCAAGTGTCTCTGGTGACAACATTGGTGCTGTACGTGACCTTATTGAAAGTGACGGCGGCTCACTATTCATGAAGTCGCTTTAGAAGTGGGCATTAGCTTTGGAAGTGCTCAAACAATCATCACAAAGCATCTTGGCTTCAACAAAATCTGTGCTCGACTGGTGCCAAAGTTGTTGAACGTACAGTAATGGACAAAAGTATATAGACAAATGTGAATATTTACCTAAATACCTTTAGAAAACGAATTCATACTTCATTGCTCCACAAACAAATGCGTTATTAGTGGAAAAACTAAATTCCTTGTTTTTACATTATCTGCAATGAACACAATACAAGTCTGATATAAGCACTTTTTTATGAGGGACAAAAATATGTAGACAAATTCTTTTCAACATTAGTTCAGTACAGTTTCGTGTCAGAAGAGGATTAGTTTGTGTTCATCAAGTATTGTGGAATAAGTTGAGTGATCTTAAGACCATGCCGCGTGGTCCAGAAATTTCTTTCGATGTGAAAACTAAGATCATTGAGTTATACAAAGATGGCCAACGTCAAGTCGACATTGCCAAAAATTTGAAGCTGAAGCGTAAAGCAGTTTGGGCAATATTGAACAAATATAAACAAAAAGCTGTCTTTTAAGCCTCTAAGAAAAGTGTTGGGCCTAGAAAACTAAATGCTAGATCAGTTAGATTAATAAAAGTAATTTCGTCCAAAGATCCGTTTAAAACCCCAAGACAAATAAAAGCCGAAATCGAGACAAAAGGAATTGTCAGTATTTCTACGAAAACTATAAGTAGAAGATTAAATGATTTGAAGTTATTTGCACGTCGCCCGAGTAAGAAGCCGCGAATCTCGAGGAAAAACAGTAAGGACCGATTACAATTTGCACGGTTGCATCTTGATTGGAGCATCTGTGACTGGAAGAGGGTATGTTTCAGTGACGAATCAAAATTCAATATGTTTGGATCAGACGGTGTTCATTACTTTAGACGTCCTAGTGGACAAAGATTGAACCCCAAGTACACTTTGCCCGATGTCAAATATGGAGGCGGGTCTGTTATGGTTTGGGGGTGCTTTTCGGAGTTTGGGATGGGACCTTTACATAGAATACATGGCATTATGGATATTTTTGTTTACACAGACATACTAAAGCATGCCATGTTACCCGATATGGAAGACAATATGCCCTTAAGATCAATCTTCTAGCAAGATAATGACCCGAAGCACACTTCAAATCCCGCGAAGAAATTCTTTCTGGATAAAAAAATACCAGTTCTCAAATGGCCTTCACAGTCTCCCGATATAAACCCCATTGAAAATCTATGGGAATACTTAGATAAGCAAATACGAGATAAATATTATTCAAACATGGATGAACTTTTTGCCGTTTTAGAGCAAAAGTGGAGACAGATTGATGAATCTTATATCAAGAAACTTCTACAATCTGTGCCGAGACGATGCCAGGCGGTGATTGATAATAATGGTTATGCTACAAAATATTAACACAAACATGGTTGGTTTTCTATAATTCAATAAACTTTTGTCCAGTTTTTTCAATTAATTTTTTATTGAAGGGAGTCTAATGAATTTATTTATGTATAAGTGAGTATTATGCTATAATGAATTATGTATACAGGTTGGTGTATTAATAAAACAAGTTAAAAATGAAATACAGCACAATATTAATTTTTCTATATACTTTTGTCCATTACTGTAGGTCAAAAAAACATCCGACTGCAAATCAGTAGGAGACATCTGAATCGATTTCGGTGGGAGGGAGAGACTGAATCATATCGTGACGTGTGATGGACATGGCTACATTATTACACTCCCGAGTCCAAGATAGCCAGTAAAGAATGGCGAAGAAAAGCTGAGGCCGGCCCAGTGAAAGCCATACAGACGCGGTGTCATACAGCCGCTGAAACGAAGCAAAAACTGGAGGATATGTATTTTTTGATTTTCTTGAGCATCATCCATACATCCCAGATTTGTCACCCTGTGACTATCATTTGTTTGTGCCCATGAAAGATGCACTTGGAGGATTGTGATTTGACAACGATCGAGATGTGGAGAACTTCGTGCGCAATTGGTCGGTCACTCAACCTCGCAAGTTTCGTCAAGCAAGGAATTTGTAAGCTTCCAAATCGCTTGAAAAAGTATGTAGATCATGGAGGAAATTACATAGAAAATAATGAACAGCATTTTTGCATTGTTTTATGAATAAATTATAGATATTAAAAAAGAATTCCAGATTATATTTGATCCACCCTCGTATCTCAAAAAATATGTTTCATAGAGAAAAATGTTGTAGAATACAGTCGTAAGGTTTGAAAATAGTCATCTAATGATGACTGGGACGTAATCTAGACTATGACCTTAAGGTCAGTTAAAGGTCAAGGCAGTTTTCTTCAATAGAAACCCCTATTTTTGATACCGAAAGAGTACAGAGCGGAACATTTTACATCCTATTATTTATTTGCTCATGACCTTCATGGGTATTTGGGGGTGTTCAAAAAGTATCTACAAAATACCTCGTCAATACGTTTCATAAAAAAAGAAAGTAGCAAACAAAAATTGTAAGGTTTGGAAAGGGTCAACAATGTTGCCTAGCATACTATCTGGTGCACTGTAAATGACCGTTTGGGATTATCAGAAATCATTGGTGAAAAAAGCTGTTTTAATTTACCAATATATTTTTTCTTATTTTCGCGATATTTATTTTCCATGTACGAGGTGTCAAACACAAGCAATCGATGAATTTACCGGATGATTCTCTAAGGTGGATCACCCCAATAACTTTTTTATTATTGAAGATAGAAAAACGAAATTTGGGGGATGCGTATTACAGATAAATTTACATTATTTGACAAATTCACTTGCTTAACGTACTTCCGGTTTGACCGGAAACGACTCCAACTTTCGATTTTTAAATGGGACATCCCATATATTTTTCCTGATTTCGATCGAGAACAACAACGCATCATTTGTCAATATTTGACGAATAAAGTCGCTTCATTTTTGGAACGAAATTTTCAAGAGCACTTTGGTTTCAACTAATGGATGGGTATTATCGGAAAAAAACTTGGGGCCAATAATTTTCGATGGAAAACTTACTGAGAGATTTTTTTTGAGGGGACAATTGAAAATCAGGTGTATAAAACTACATCAGCTACTCGCGAAGAACTGGAGCATAAAGTAAGGGCGCATTCCGGAACATTCTGCTGGATAGTTAATCAATGTGGTGCAAGCAACAATTGATAAAGTTGAACTTTGACGTGATCAAGAAGGAGGCCATTTTGAACATTTAGAATCGCAGTGGCATATTTTTGAATTTTATTTTTTGTTATAATAATGATAGGGTATGTATGTACTTATAGGTCAACACGTCTATGTCTTTTTCTTCACTGGTTCGTTGCACAATTTTGTATTTCAAAAGCAACAGCTTCAATTGTTTGTCACGGATAGAATAATAGGACTTAGTGCATAGGTAGACCGAATGCAGATACGTGTTATTTTTTGCTAGGTATGGTCGTTTTTACAATTATTCAGAAAAAAAAATGTGAAAATAAAATAAGAGTGTGTAGTATCAAATTATTGCTAAGAAAATGGTCTATCAGAAAAATCCGACGATATTTGAAAAAATCAAGTAAGCTGAAAAAATTAGTTTTGTAACTTTTATTAAATCTTTAAAAGACTGTAAGGTCGTTCGTCTCAAAATCGTATTTTTCCCGTGTTACTTGATCAAAAATGAAGCGATTTACAGGACCCATAGCATTCTAGATCGAGAAATAAAAATTGAAATAAAAAGGACTTTATGTGTCAAATATTGACAAGTGAGGCGTTGTTGAGTTCAGAATCTCTTTCTCAACCGAAAGTTGGAGTCGTTTCCGGTCCAACCGGAAGTACGTCAAAGCAAGTGAATATGTAAAAAATGTAAATTCTTCTATAAAGCATATTTCGTTTTTGTATCTTCAATAGTAAAAAAGTTATAGGGGTGAGCCACCTTGGAGAATGACCCGGAATTGTCCTGCCTGTTGTTGCAAGTTCACGCAGCTAAGGGCGAATGGCCAATAAGAGCGCTAGACTGTGAAGTTCGTGGACAAGCGTTTGTTTTGAAACGATGTAAACGCGATTTTCATAGTAATCAATCAGTAATAAACAATTATTTTAGGTAGTGGAAAAGACGAATTTATGCAACCGGTATCAGTGGCCATTGATGAGAGGGATCAGACTGTTTATGTGCTGGACACAGGAAACTCTAGAATTAAAGTTCTGAGTGAGAGTTTCGAGTTTATCAAACACGTCACGAATGAAGGATTGCTAGGAAGAAGTTGCACAGGTAATTTTTTCTGTTCGATCAGAATCGACCATATCACATGAAATGTGATTTGTATCTGAACAATATACAGTATGTTCCATTAAGAATAAGCAAGTTGGTATCGAACCATCATTTAGAAAATATTTTACCCCAATCCCATAAATTTGGTAGGACTTGTATCTATTGAAACATGTCTCATTATTTTTACCTTACTTAAACTATACGGATTAAAATACATAGTGTGATTGATTGTTCTTGGAAAAAACCTCGCAATTATATTTAAATATTTTTCAGGCATTGCTATATCGAATGAAGGTCTTATAGTGGTGAACTGGAGGACGAAATTCTTGACAGAAATAACAACTGACGGTGAAACGATCAAATCGTTCACTTACAATGCGTTCCAAGAGCCCATAGATGTCGCTGTGGACAAAAATTACGGACACGTTTTAGTAGCTGACAATGGGATGAGTTGCGTTTTTGTCTTTGACGCCGAGGGAAAGATACTGTTCCAGGTAAAAAAAAAATTGATAACTACATAAATAATAATGCATTGTTGCATATAGACGCTCCTTACTTCGATAGCCATCCCAAAGCGGTATACTATCATTGTCTAGAGAATCGCGTGAAGCAGTTGAGGCATTTGCTGCTCCTTAGTTATTATACAAAACAGCGGTTAATTTAATCTAATATCTGAAACTTATCCTATTCTTTTGCTGATAGTTTTTTCATGTTTTTTTTTCTGGCCATCACAGAAACCACATCTGAAGAATCGACTGTTCACCTCGGTATTTTTTCAATTTGTTTTATTCATTCCTTGTAAAATACCATCGAGATGGCCGAAACGTCAATAAACAGCAAATTGTACATGTCTACAGATCTAGAATTAATACTGTGTCACTTCTCGATATGGGGTATTTTGAAATGTTACTAGATAATCAGCTGTTATTTGCTGTCACATTTGACGTAATGGTTACTCGCGAATAAAGTCATAATTGCTTTGATAAAATGTTTCTGGGACATTCTCAGATTGGAAAAGAGGTGATTTATTTTCTGTTTATTTGGGTTGTTCAGTTATTATTAATTTGAAGGAAATTCGGAAACTTTTACAACTTACTTCCAATATTTGATGCATTATTGACTAACTATATGTATAGTTAAACTCACACAAAACTGAGTTAGATAATATCAAACATTACGAGACAAAATTCAGGAGAGGACGAATATTCTTGCTATCAGTACCACACCACAATATTTTTCCAGGTGGGCAAAAAGGGAACATTCAGTCTCATATCTTCCATATCGGTGGGACCTTTAGGAGAAATCGTCGTAGCAGATTCTAGAGTTCAGCTGTTTTCTGCAAAAGGCGATTTCATGGAGATCATCTACGATGAGGGTAAAGGTAGGTCACAATTATTTCGTTACATCTATAAAACTTCTAGTTTGAAATTTTTATTCTTGATCGGATACTCTCAATGCTTAGCATGAGTGCCAGCTCATATACATATTTCCAAAAACCAGTAACATAACAGTTATTCACTAAACGTGAAGTTTAAATACCCCATATAATGGAAATGAGGCATTTCCGGATCTATGAACTTCTTTCATATCTTGATGTACTCACCCTTCAATTTCCCAGATCACATTTTGTAACACACATTGTAAATCAATTATATTCCAGACTTTTTATATAGATTTTCCGTTTGTGTTTATGGAATATTAAAAATATACGTGTGAAGTACAGAGTGAATCTAAAAATTTGAGGGTTAGGGTTGCTGGGGGGTGGGGGAGGGTGCATCGCAATTTTTTGGCGGCAGCATATTTATAAACTTCTAACCACAGTAATTCTAGCACCTATTAGACATATGTCAGACATGTATTACCCCGTATATTTGCCCTTAAGGATGCACGTCCCTTTTTTATTTATCTACCTGTTTGCAGCAGTATTATAAATCCTTTTCATCTGATCATTATTTGACGATATGTATAGAGATGAGTAAAGTACGTTATCAATTTTTTTGTCGAAAAAAAATAGTACAGCTCTTAAATTGTAAGTGAATATTCCACTGTTATGGAAAAATGGAACGGGTGAACACTTTTACTCTTCTTTGATTTTCTTGAAACCTCATTTTGCGGCAAATAGAAAAGCAAAGATTTTTTGAAGAGACAAAGTGATAGGAGAACAGTCACGCTTCGTTTTTCCATAAAAGTGGAATATTCATATACAATTTTAGACCTGTACTATTATTATTTATTACCAAGTTACGATTGAAAAAAGATAGACAGGCTGTTTAAAAAGGGTCATTTGACGTCAAGACTTGAATGAAATATTTTGTATATAAAGTACTCTAGCCACTGCGCGCTCTCGTGTCGAAAATATCTAAACAGATGAGAAAATGTCAAGGATAACTAATGGAACTACCAGGACAATATAATTTATTGAATATAAATAATCAAAGGTGGCCACAATATCAGGTCTGTAGTTATCCAGGTGTGAAATAACGAATAGACGTTCATCAGTCTTTTCTGAATAAAAATGTATTTTGTGGAATGAAAAATCTCATCTACTTTCAGCACCTTTTCATGAAGCAAATAATACCACTATAGTCGAAAGTTGTGCTCGAATGTTTAAAAAAAAAATAACCTCACAATAATTTTTCTCCAATCCTATTCATTATATTACACGACAAGGCAACAGCGGCGGCCGCAGTGGTAAACGCCTCTTAATCAGTCGCCGTGCGCTGCGCGAGTTCGAATCCCGACAGAAGAGAAAATTTTATCTTGGCTATGGATGTTGTGATTGTCCACAGGTGGTAAACCGTCTCTGACTGTCGAACGCGCAGGTACCACCCGACAGATACAGTATCCCCCTATAGTCCCATGGTACCCCATGGGTGTTTAGGCCTTAGACCTTCATGGTAAAAGGAGTATAAAAAAACTAAGGGTTTTCATAGCCAGTCAATAGTAAACCTACCAGAATGAAAAAAAGTTGATTTAGCTACGTATTCAAAGTTCATAATTACAATTTTTTTCTAATGAACCATGCTTTTTTTTGACTGATATTCATTCTATGCCAAGGTACAATAGTTTTCTTAGCCGGCAAACAATAAGATAAAGAGTACAAAAGTCGGCTTAGATGCATGCAAAGTTCAGAATTGCACGGGAAGTACAAAGTCATTCTACGTGACGCCATTTTTTTCAGGCAAAGGACGCTATGGTGGCATTGTAGTAGATGCCGAAAATAGAGTTCTCCTCACACGGACCGAGCAGAAAGGCAGAACCTACGTGCAAGTGCTCTCATTGACGGACAACTCTCTGAACCAATGCGTGGACTCGCACGACGCGAAATTGAAGAGACCCAGCGGATTGGCGGTTACTCAAGACAACCATGTGGTTGTGGTTGATCTTGGCAATAATTGTGTCAAGAAGTATCGGTATTGGTGAACCGTGAGCGCAAAATCTAATCGTCGCCGTTTTTACATAACTGCAGTTTTTATGTGAGATTGTGATTTTGAAAAAAATCGGACTACCTACTAACTGTCAATGGCTTGCACTGATATTGTCAATCATCAATCAATATGTTATTAAACAAGCTGCAAGTCACATTGTGGTAGATGGCTAAGCTACTATTTACACTTGATAATAAAACGGAGAATGTCGAGAAAATTCTACCAAGAGTCTGCTGTAGGGGAGAGGTCCGATTTAAGGTTCATTCTCACTATAATTCCGTTTCCATTCCATATCAGTTTCGTAAACGTTCAGTACAATTTGATTGTATACACAGTATACCTTACGGATAATGTGCATACACACGCAATAGCCTGCTTTAAGCGAAGGCGAATATTTAATTTAAATAATTTACGGAACGGTTACGGAATGGAAACGGAATGTATAGTGAGAATCAACCTTTATGGCATTTTATGCTCCTCCATATAGTATCCTACGGGCCTGCAACCATCAAACCATGCTAGTGAAATACAGGTTGCATTGGGTTAGACAAATGTCAGAAAAACGGCCGTTGCGCCTTGTCTCATTTTATCTTATTTCTGAAGATGTTACTTTTCATATTGTAACGCTTTGTATAATGCGGTAGGACAGTTCGAGTTTTGTTATGTGATTTCAAATTGTAGGATGATCACGTTATCTGTTTTATTTCTAAATCTGTTGATATGTTTCGCGAAGTTCGCAGAATTCTTGAGTTTTATAGAAAAGTGATCACATGTTACTAGGTTATATAAAGGAGTGTAGAGTTGTGAGTTAAGGTTAAGTCAGTTTTTGACTGAATAAAACGTGAAAAGTCAAGAAGTATTTCATCCCACTTCTGACATTTGTCACGAATTTTCTCTTCTTTACACGTTTTATTCACTCAAAAACTCACAAAACTTATTTAACCTTGACTTCACTTAACATAAAACACTGAAGAAGTGGGAGCTCCAAACGATGGCAACACCATTGATATTTGTCAGATGGTGGCGCCTGGAGATCTAGAGAAACTACCGAAGGAATGACCCTGGAAATAGGAATGTGCCAGGGATTTCGTTTGATCGCAATTTAAAACCTGCTGAAAATGTTTCCTATATTGAAGGATTATTTCATGAACGTAAATCCATAAAAGATCCCGAATAACGGTAATATCCCTTTCAGTATTTTGCTGGGAACAAGTTTCAGGGTAATGAAATCTAATGCTAAATATCCACAAATATGTATATGTATTTTCATCAAATAATCACAAGCTTTTTTGACAGTCGTATAAAGATTGTATTACATGAAGATATATATCCCAAATTCATTTATTGAATACTCTTTGCAAAACTCGTGTCTAGCTTCATTGAATTGATTCTTGGTAATCTGATACGATATAGAAAACACTAATGTAAATTAGACAGTCTTTGCAAATGAGCTAGTCTCGTTTAGTTAGTTTGCCCATTGTATGCCTTAAATGTGTTTAATTCTATCTCCAATAAATCATAATCTGTTTTGCTGTTAACTAGAAGTTTTGTGATTTTCCAGCTGACCTGACAGTGAAATTTCCGTTCTTCAAAAGTGATTTGATTTTTTCACTGAACTCTTTGTATTTGCTGATATGTCCAGCGAAAACAATGGTTGGAATCCCGGATTTCTTTTTCTGTAGAATTATACTTGAATTTTATGATTTTTGAGGTATATCTTCCCCTGTCCTGACATTTATCAAAATACCGAACTTATTTTTAATTTCTACATCTGGAATTGAGCCAACCTCTGGGAGCCTGGCAGCATTTATTTTCTTTGGTTGAATGAAGTCTCCTTCATGTCTTACTTGTTGGGATTCGGGTATGGATAGCGTTACCATTCCATCTTCCAGATGCCCCAGCAACATTATTTTTAGTAGTTTTATAAATGTTTATATAAAATGCTAGAAAACTCAAGAATTCTACAAACTAAACAAAATGACGACTAACTGACCACAATTTGACAACACAAGACAGAACTGAAACTGTGGCCTACCGCCTATACAGGGTGTTACAATGTATAAAATACCTGGAATAAACTCATATTGTGGTTGTCATTCATTCAACTGACCCCTCTTTAGTGATTAAATGCATACATTACCTCGCTCTTTGGATAAAATATTGAGTTTTTCTCCACTATTTTGGGGAGTTCGAAATAATGAACATATCTCCGTTTCCTCTCATTGAACAATTCACAACTGCACAAAGCAAGCCATTTGAATAGTTATTCACAAATAAATAAAGTATTTACGAGAAGTAAGTGAAAATGTGGAGGCTTATTAACACCAAACTGTCATTCGGTTTGTTGTTGTCCTCCAGCAAGTATGGTGGCCAAGCCATGACGTCATATGAAAACGATCCGTATGAAGTTAGTAGATAATGCGAATATGTAATAGGAGCTGTCAGTTTGTTTTTTTAACGTAATAAGCATGCGCATATTCCAGGATACGCCACTTTATTGGCTCTACAAGCATCAGTAAGGTTGTGATCAACGAACGTTTGTGGTAACATCCACATAATTGAAAGTATGACGTCATCCTGGGATACCCTAATCGTGATTTTTCCACAATCATAGTCAGATACCATGACTATTTACAAAATATTTAATTGAGAGTGATTCCTACATTAAAACACATTATTTATCTTATAACACTTAAGATGTTTGTAGCATCAGCCATACTCAAGTACTTCAACTCATTTTAAGCAATAAAGTTAATGTTAAAAGAAATGTCTACTGAACCAAACCATATAATTTTGTTCAAGAAAAAACAGTCTCATTCAGTGATATATTTTACCCATTTCGTCTAATTTTGAGTAAGATTAGTTATTTAAGTTATTTTGTTTGATGTCCTCGAACCCTATCGCAATGATTAGTCCGAAAAAGTACGAAACTGCTACAGAATGCTTGCATCGATAGAAAGCAACCCAATATTTTTTTTAAGTTTAGTTGAATTGGAAATAAATCGCTAAAAGATATGTGTATATTTCGAATGTCTTTTTACTTATTTTAATATGAGGAACCGTTTTCGGTCCAGTATACATTTTTTTTAAATACACTCAAGTCACACGAAGGAATTTTTTATATATTAGATGCTACTTGACTGCCAATATTTTGCCATAGGTGATTTTTTTTACTATTTTTTTTTGTGCATCTTCGGTGTGCAAAATATTTTGTCGATTTTACTTAATGTATATATGTTATTATAAGCTTTTGGTTTATAATGCGTTTTTTTGAGATGTGTATCTCACGCGATATGAAAGTCTCGTTTTGTGGACAATTTTGTACTTATTTACTGTATATTTTTGTACAAACGTTTCTTTTCAGTTGGTCTAGTCATTACTTCATATTTTTCTATGCTCTATTTATTGTAAATATTAAATACACAAATATTATAGTACTTTCTCTTTTATTCAACCCTATCCACAAACTTGGCAAGAGGCATTTTTTGTGGAAGTGTGGCAGTTTCAAAAACTTTCTGAAGAGCGGGAGGTAGTAACTTTTATCAATCCTCAGGGAAAAGGGGGTGTTTCAGATATAACCCTAACAAAAATCCCAGTTGACCTTGAGGTAAGCTTTTTTTATTAATACTTTTTTTCGCACAAATTGAATTGGAATAGGTGTCTATGTACATTTGACAGAATAAGAATAAAATACAACTAGCTTCATATTTTATATAACTTTATTAAAAACAAAAACAAAAAACAAAACGTAAAATTAATAAAGGCCAACAGTCTAAATAAATATAAATACATGAGTTAGTTAAAAAGTTAAAAACTACTAGGATACAAATTTTACTTTGACACTTGTTATTTTTTTGGCTATAAGTGGTTGTACTTTCTACGCTTTCACTCATTTGTACATCTGATCCCTGTAAAAAAGAAGATCATTATGGAGATTATAGATTTTTGCTGAAATGTGGCAAAGAAATGGTCAAAATATACAAAAATATATTAAATCCCACTTTGGCCAGAGATGACAAATAACTTTTTTCATCTTACCAATCCGTTTTGTAATGAAGTCAGGGAAAATTTATTTACGAATGTAAATTGTATCACAAACTAAAAATGAACGTTCTTTTCATTTTTTAACATAGTCACCATTTAAACATTTGTCAAGTCGTGCACCAACTTTTGGATACCGTCGTCAATAACGAACCATCAAGCCAGCTACTGCTTATTTCAACATATACTTTTTCAAGCGCTTTCCACTAAAAAATTCCTTAAGTTTGGAAAAAAGATTAAAGTCTACATATGATGGTGCTAAGTGGGGGGAGATTCACTGATTCCCAATGAAACTTGTCCAGTTGCGTCGCAATGCAAGGCAGAGCGTTGTCGTGAAGCAGAACGGCGCCGTTAGAGAGACACCGCCGATGCCAAATTCAACGAACTGCTGGTGAATCTCAACAGGAGGAACTTTTTTGCGTTTGAAAACCGTAATACTCAGCGGTGACGAGTTTACTGATTGACATAGCGAAAAACAAACCGGTATAACAGACAACCAATACTGACAACAACCTGAAATGTAATGGCGGTGTAGTGAGAAACTGCCCAAGGGTGTCTAAAGTTGAACGGACTTCACGTGACAGGGTGCGCGATCGGTACTTACTATAAAAATGGCTCTCCTTAAATGAGACAAGGGAAATCGATACAAAAAGGCATAGTGGCTTATTAGTTTTAAACTTACCCATAATATCGCACAGCTTTCATCTTAAAAGCCGTTGAATTTTCTTTACATTTATATGCTAAGACCTGTTTTATCCTACTGATTTCAACCATCGGAAATCTAGTAGCTACGTATGCTGAAAATAAATTTTAATGAGAAATATAAAATTCAAGTCACAAGCACAAAAACTGTACTGTATAAAAAAGATATTAAAGTAATAACCTCTTGAACTTTTCTCTCATGTTTGGAAACATGCTTCGTTTATCAATTGATCTAAAGCAGAACTTACAGATGATTGCTTGAACTTTGGCTCTATCCAAAGCCGGTTTCACGGGCCTCTCCCCACTACCAGCTCTACTCCATCTTTGTCCGGTAACAGAGCATGTCGCTAACTCCGCGGGACTGAACAGGATTGTGGCCAGGCCTCTAGTTAGTTTCCTATAGTCAGTCCATTTCAAACTACGTAATTGGTCTTCGTATATTTCGATGCCTTCACCTAGTTTTATCTACAACATGCGAAGAATTTGATTTTACTTTCCAGTCCTGAAGGCGAGAAATGATTGTCAAACTACTACTATAACATGAAAGAAAAAACTATGCTGCGTGCAAACAGGTGAGAAATCGGACGATTCACCTACAAATTGTTTGCCGAAACTGATTTCATCCTCAACCCATACGGTGAAAATGATGGAAAGACTCCTACGTCTTCTGGCTGATAACTGCTCAGCGTCTCTACTATGTACATATGTACAAAGGGTACTATAAAAGTTTTGCAATACAGCTTTATTTATTGACTTCGTTCAAAGTAATTTCTTCCGCATTCAACACTTCTCCTTCCGCCAAAACCAGTCCTTAAACCAGCTATGCCAAGTTTCACCCGGGAGTACGGCATAATCGTTGTCCCAAGACCTCAGGAGGTCCTCATCGCTAGAAAATCGTTTTCCTTTTAGCTTCATTTTCACATGCGGAAACAGTGCAAAGTCGCAGGGTGAAAGATCTGGACTGTAAGGAGGATGCTCAATAAGTTACAGTCCAGTAGTGGTCAAATACTCGGTGCAGGCTTTGGCACGGTGAGCTGGAGCGTTGTCATGGTGGAGCTACCAAGTGCACATTCTTGACTTTGGTCGCAGGTTTTTCATAGACTCTATGACTTTAGGCAGGCACTGTTCCATGTACCACTTAGCTGTGACTATCTTCTGTGTGTCCAAAACGACACGCTCCACAATCCCGCTCGATTTGAAAAATACATAATTTTTCTCCACAGATCGAGATTTTCTGACAGCTACGGGTGTGTCCTCATCATCAAAGACTCAAACATTGTTTTATGCCTTGGTCATCGCATCGTAATAATACAGCCAAGTCTCGTCATCAGTTACGATGCTATTCACATACCGATATTGCGCCTTATCAAACATTTTCAGCATCTTTCGGCACCAAGTCCTACGACGAGTCTTCCGCACTTCCATCAGACTATGCGGTACCCAGAGAGAACAAAGTTTCCTTACGTGTCAATGGTCATGCAGAATTGAATAAATTGCTGATGCATGAAGGTGCAAGGTCTCCTCTAACTGTTGGTATGTCACACTCCGGTCTTCGTCAAGCATGTTCCTCACAGCAGTACGAGGGATGTCTTTTAAGTTTTACATATGGAAATAAAACAACACGGTAGGTAGTTTTAAATGACTTTATTGTTTTTCGAAGTACTCTCCACGAAGATTAATACACATCTGCATGCGCTCGAACCAATTTTCGAAGCACTTATTCCACTCGTTTGCTGGCAGATCCAAAACGGCATTTTTGAATGCGTCAACTGCTTCTTCTGGTGACTGGAACCTTTGACCACGCAGTCTGTTTTTAATTTTCGGGAAAGTAAACATATCGTTAGGACTTACATCGGGACTATATGGAGGATGGTCCAATAATTCCACGTTTTCTTCCGTTAAATACTGCCTTGTTTTTTGGGCTGTGTGCGAGCTTGCATTGTCTTGGTGGAGGATGATTCTTCTTTCGGCGTTGATTTTTCGAAGCTCGGTGATGACTTTTGGCAAACAAATGGTGGTATACCAATCAGCAGTAACAGTTCTTTGCTCATTAAGAGCAATTGTTGCAATATGACCCGCTTTTGACACAAATGTCGCGACCATCTTTTTCGAAACACTTCGAGAACGGATGACTTGTTGGCTTTTCTTCACCTTGGAACACCCAAACAGCCGACTGTCGTTTATTTTCTGGTTCATAACAGTAAATCCACGATTCATCACCACTAACAATGCTGTACACATTTTTTGAGTTTCCGGAATTGGGACGGTCAAGCGTTTTTTGACACCAATTAACCCTGGCTGCTTTATGATCTTCAGTCAACAGGTGGGGTATCCAACGAGAAACTAATTTTCTTACTCCTAATTCTTTATGTAAAATTTTTTGAATTGAGGTCTTTGAGATCTCCAAGGACGCCTCAATCTCGCGATATGTCACATCTCTGTCTTCAATGATGAGTTTGCACACCGCTTCGACGTCTTCCTGGGTGACTGCCGTTTTTGGTGCACCCACCCTGGGATCGTCGCTAAGACTCACCCGTCCACGTTTGAATTCTCTATACCAACGGGAAATTGTCGACTGATGTGGCGCTTCGTTGCCGAAAACAGACAGTAACTCAGCAAGGCATTCTTGTTGCGATAATTGTCTCTGAAAGTTGTAATAAATTATGGCGAGAAAATGTTCTCGGTTGAGTTCCATTTTTCTAATGACTTGGTGACACTTAAAAATTCACTGTAGTGAGAAAACTCCATATATTGTTGTGAAACTTTGAATTTAAGTTTACTAAAGAGTGAGGTTAAGATTCAGTACTGACGTTCGATCCGCCGCCTACTATGTTTCTATATGCAAAACTTAAAAGACATCCCTCGTAATGTTTTCCTCTATTACTGACGTTCGGGACCTTGCTTTCCTCTCAGCGTCCTCCAGAGTTAAACTGCCCCTTTGGAATTCTCTGTACCACCTGAATCTAGTACGATGAGGACAATCATTGTTCAATGTAAGCGTCATTTCTTCTAAGCATACTGGTCTATGCTTAAACCACGCGTAAAGTTATACTGTAAAACTGCCCTTATCTCACTTCGTGACCACGATGCCATAGTTCGCACTACACTGTCACTACGAATGAACAACTAAATCAACTGCTGCTGGCGGCTGCTATGCACTCATGGACAAGCCTCAAAATGCAGTAACATGCAACCTCCAGCGTCCGTTTGTTAAGTCTTATTGCAAAACTTTCATAGTACCCTTTGTATAATGTTGCACCATCACCAGAATGTATTCACAAACTAACCAGCAATGGTTCTATGCATGCATGGATATACAGAGTGTTCCATAATTATTGCGACAAAATTATAGGGGTTGTAGAGGGCATCAAAATGAACAATTTTGCCTTATAAACCCCTGTTCGGAAATATGCCGTTTGGGCTGCAGCAAAAAAAAGATCAGTTTCTTGAAACAGCTTACCTACAGTAATTGCTCAAAGTGTCCTCCACCTTGCTCAATACACAGCTGTGCACGATTGTTCAATGATCGGCGAACTCTGTGGCATACCCCCGGTATGTCCTGAACATGTGCGGACGCGGCCATCACTCTTCCCAGTAGCTCTTGTTGGTTGGGAACAGGAGTTTCGTAGACTAAAGCTTTCAGATGGCCCCAGAGAAAATAATCCAGTGGGGTCAGGTCGGGTGACCGCGCAGGCCAAGGCACAGGGCGACCTCGGCCTATCCACCTATTTGGAAATTTGTCGTCCAAATACTGCCGCACTTGTAAAGAAAAGTGGGCTGGAGCGCCCTCGTGTTGAAACCACATGTTGGCTCTTATGTTCAGTGGCACATTTTCTAATAGTTCCGGTAGCACATGCTGTAAGAATCGACCATAAGCATGCCCATCCAAACGTGGTGGAAGCAAATATGGCCCGATGATATGCTCGTCCACAATGCCGCACCAGATGTTAATTGAAAACTGATGTTGGTCTCTATGGATGGCTATGGCATGAGGGTTTTCTTCATCCCAAATGAGACTGTTACGGCTATTAAAATAACCGTCCTTTGTAAAACAGGACTCGTCAGTGAACAAAACGTAGCGACCAAAGTTTGGTTGCCACCAACGACAAAAACGTCGACGCGGCAGATAGTCTTCTGGACCCATGGCTTGGACTTTTAAAAGGTGGTATGGGTGTAGTTGCTGGTCATGGAGAACCCGCCAAACAGTAGTTTGAGACGCTCCCATATCATGTGCAATAGCACGCACGCTTGTACGCGGATTGGCCTCTACATGATGCAGAATCGCTACCTCAAATTCTACTGTGCGCCTCGTGAAGGGCCGCCCTGCTCCCGCGAGGTGTCTGATGCTGCCACTGACACGAAGACGTCCATGAATCCATGCAAAAATGGCGTGATGCGGATGAGGACGTTCTGGAAACCGTTGGGCGTAGATTCGCGAGGCTCGTCTTCCGTTACCACCAGCTTCTGCGTAAATTAAATGCATATCCGCAAGTTCCGCATACGAATAACGCTGCATTTTAACACTAAGGTACTGTTATTTACTATCTAGTTTGACGCACCACTCAGATAAATTAAATGAATCGGTGTGGAGAATTTACGATAACAAAAATGTAAACACAGCAGGCTTTTTTTAAAAACCGGCGAGACCATGAAATGTGCTAAACGAACATTTTGCAGCTGGTGAATTTTTTGTTTCTCCTATGAGCTCTTAAGGTAAAATTAGCGGTAGTGCTCAAACGGCATATTTACGAACAGGGGTTTATAAGGCAAAATTGCATATTTTTATGCCCTCTACAACCCCTATCATTTTGTCGCAATAATTATGGAACACCCTATATAGTCATTCTGAACTGTCTCCAGGACTAGACCTATACCATACTGATGGTAAGAGCAAGAAACAGCGGTGTCTGTATATGGTCATTTTTACAGAGACGATTCAGTTAAAAAAACTTTGTCTTCAGAACGGTACAACTGTGGATAATCATCGGTTGTAACTAACACAATTTTGAAAATTGGCACCAACTAGATAGAGATGCACTGTGCGATTTTCACTTGCAGGGACTGAAATAATTTTTGACGTTCTCTTATTTTGACTTACCAGTCTGCTTCTGTGCTCTGATGTTTCTTGTCTATTTCGTAAAATTGAGCTTGACAAGTCGAGTGAGTCTTCAGAGACGCCATTTTGCGTAAAAGGCCCAAATGGTAACCAACTTTCTGATAGCCTACGTTTTCTTATACTCAAATCTGAAGGAAATGAATAAATGACAATGACAGTCGAACCGTTATTTAAAAAATACTAACATTTGAACCACCAATGTAAACGTTACTCATCTGTCAATACTGTGACGATAATTTTCTAATTATCAATAACAAAAAAATCTAACAATGAGACATGGGTATTTTATTTAAGTTTTATTGTAAAACTTCAATCTTTACAAGATTTCATAACTTATAATATAGGATAATAATTTTTATGTATAGAAAAAGCGTATAGTCGTGACTATCTACATTCAACTAGTCTTATAAAGTATGGCATACACATTTTGTTCATTTATATGACACGTAAGAGTAGGAAGTGAAACATCACGTAAATGAGATTTTTTCGAAACATCTCTCCAGAAAACGTAAGAAACAATACAGAATTTATCGTTTTGATACACAACACATAGTCCTGTGAGAACAACTGGTGTCCATATCCACAAGGAATTTAAAGCTCACAGAGGATTAGAAAAAATTGACAGATCTGTATTTTATTCGATCGCATATGACATTCCTCAGCGTTGACCTCAAAAATATCCTAAATGAGCAATCCCAAAGTCAAAACACATCATCCACCAAACTTTTTCGATAAAAAAGAAGCGATGACATACTGAACGATTGTTGCATGCTGACCTTGAACAGCACTTGACCCTAGGAAAGACTCCAAGTACTCCAAGCGGTTGAATTCACATAGTTCCACACTAATAAAAAAGTTTTTTTCTCGAATCATGATTGTACAATTTTGTAGTTAGTAGTGACGCATCATGTATATCTTTTGGAATGTTTACAACTAATTTCAAACTTATATACCATTTCATCTGCTAATTTTAGACAGTTATATAATTTTGAACTTTGCATCACTTTCTAGGAGCATAAACGAAAGGTTGCTTTTCAAACTTCATCTGCAACCCATTATTTCCAAGCTGATCCAACATTCTCATGAATCCCGCAATGAGTGCTGACGACGTGCCTCCTCATATAAAAATTTGAGTTAAAGTGTTTGTTGCATACATGACATCGTATGTACGTAAGCAAGTGTATGAGACGTATTTGGCAACCTTAAACAGCACTTGACCTTCCGAGATTCCAAGGACTTTCAAGTTGAACTCACCAATTCGAGAACTCATATACAGAGTATTTCAGAGAGACATGGTAGAAAATACATCCAAAAAAGTTGCTATAAATATGGGTCCAAAGATGCTCCCGTGCCGAAATACAGGGCAATGAGGTTTAATTTACGAAATCGAGTTAAGATTTTAGACGTTCAATGAGCACATACATAGTTTCCCGGCCCAAACTAAACCAGGGACGTAGAAACTGGGTTACCTGGACCACTAATAGGAAATATTTTCTACACCACTGACCTTTCCGAAGAAAACAAGTGTATTTTATAAAATACTATTCTACCAATTTTCCATAATGTTTGTCAGTTAAGGAATTTTTGTGAGATCACTCGTTTTGGACATATTCAGGTTTGAATATTTGTTGTAAAATCTTAGAATATCCTTATGGAAAGTTTTAGCCTCCTCTATTCTGGAGCTTTATATTGGAAACATTATATGACATGTGAAGAAAACCATGACACCTTATTATAACATTAACTGTATAATATGAGTGTCTTATACTCAACCATTTATTAAATCTTGTCTATACACGTTACAGGTTTTCATGATATACTTCTCCCGGTATTATCCATATTAGGTTCTTCTGTTTGTCTAAAAGCACAACTAGTAATTGTGAAACCAGTCAATTTCAGTAACATCCCTATTGTTTTACTTCTGAAATTATCGGCCTTTTTCGTAAGCAACCTCGGAAATGAAGTATGAAGACGTAGTATTTATTTCAACACTGTTCGTACTACGCCAGGTACTTTCCGAAGAGTCAGATAGTGTTTGGGGCGTAGAGCACGAGCTTGCGTTGAATCCAGTGGTCACTTTCAACATCCCATTTAGGTTGTAATGTTTATTGTTGTCGTGTTCAATGCTTATTACCTTAATTTATTTATTTTTGGAATAAACGTTTTCTTTTTTTTAAGCTTATCTGTAAAGAAGAATGAATATGCCAGAAAAACCAGTTTCCTGAAAGGCCAGTGGCGTAGAAAATATTTCCTACCAGAGTCCAGGTACCCCAGTTTCTAAGTCCTTGGTTCAATTTGGGCCGGCAAATTCAGAGTGTTTAGTGCTTATGATGTTCTCACTGAACATCTAAAATCTTAACTCAGTATCACTACCCGCTCTGTAGATATACTTTTTTTTTCAATTTCGTAAATAAAACTTCATCACCCTGAATTTTGGTTGGGGGACATCTTTGGATCCATATCAATAGGAACTGATATTTTTGGATGTGCTTTCTACCCTAGAGATATTGAAATGTTTTTCTGAAACACCAAGTATAACAAGTGCTTTCCTTAAATAATGGTTGGTTGCAATTTTGTGTTTTGTAATAATGATTTTTTGGAATTGTTACAACTAATTTAAAACTCATATGATAATTTGAGTGGACAGTTGTATCATTTTGAACTTTGATTCACTTTCTAGCCGCATAAACCAAAGGTTGTCTTTCAAACTTTCCATTCTCAAATTTCATCTGCAACCCATTCTTTCCAAACTGATCCAACATTCCCATGAATCCCCCATGAGCGCTGACGATGTGCCTCCTCAAATACAAGTCAGTTTTAAAGTTTTTGTTGCATACATGACACCGTACGTAAGTAGGGAAGTGTATGAGACGCATGTGCTGTCTGAGATTGGAGAGATTGCTGTACACTTTGCCGCATTCGGAGCACGGTCTAGGGTCCAGCGAATGCAGACGGCGGGTGTTGGGACCCCCACCATGGGGCCCACTTGAGCCCACTGGGTAGAGAGCGAGGTCCGCCTGGCCTGCAACAACACAGCATTTTTGGAACAACAGGCGCTCAGATCTATTAGCGAGGACTGACATTAGGGTCTCCCAAAAAAATGAAAGTTCTATCAAACGCATACCCTCTAATTTTGCTTGAACAATGTGAAAACTATAGTAAATAAAGTTTTTTGTACCTTGAACCAGGGCAACCCGTGCCGAGTTGCGTTTGTTCTATTAGTAAACGCACTGTTTTCTTTCAGTCAATATGTCGAAGGAATTACGCAATTCTAAAAAGGGAATATTTATAATAGGGGACGTAAGGCATCAAATTACTGGTTCAAAATTTCCTTCTAATTGACACTAGCAGTTTTGTCTTATAATATCCGAGATGTGAAATTAAGTGTCAATGCGAGCGCCAACCTTACTATTCATGAGCGCATTATTCACTGTGAAAAGGCACGTATATCGACTAAATCTATTTTTTTAGGACGAAGCAACCGCGCAGGGCAGAATCCTAAATGCCGGGACACCGCGGCTGCTATGAGGATCCTAGAGAAATTTTGTTGTTTTGTTGTTTTTAATCCGATTTTTGAACTGCCTGAGGTTAGTAGAACTGGGAAAAGCTTCCTCTTGTAACGGGTGTTTTTTTTCGAAGTATAGAACTTTAAGTTGGCATTACTTTTGAAGATGGCGACCGATTTGACTGCTGTCAAGTGATTTATTCTCAGTTTGGTTTGGAAATTCATCATGAATAGACTCACGCCTGAACAACGTTTGCAAATTGTGCAGTTTTATTTCGAAAATAATGGTTCTGTGCGGAATACGTATCGCGTCCATTTTATCGTCGGCAAAATCGTCCATCAGAGCAGTTAATTAGATTAACCATGGAACGTTTTCGCACCACGTTTACTCTAATTGATAACTCGCATCCCCAGAGACGCCGTACGGTGCGTACATAAGAAGCTATTGCTACTGTAGAGCGTAGCATTGACGAAGACACGAATGAGTCCATCCGCCATCGAGCACAGGAATTGGATCTGTGTTCATCCAACTCGAAGAATTGAAGCCAAACGATCATCAACCAAGGCGTAGATTCGTTGAATGGGCCCAAAACGAGATTGCCGTTGTTCCCGATTTTCATAAGCGAATTTTGTTTAGCGATGAAGCGCACTTCTGGTTGAATGGCTACGTCAACAAACAAAACTGCCGCATTTGGAGTGAAGTTAATCTTCAAGTCTATGTCGAAACACCGTTACATCCAAAAAAACTGACTGTTTGGTGCGCTTTATGGGCTGGTGGAATCATTGGTCCGACTTCTTCAAAAACGATGATGGCCAGAACGTTACAGTCAATGGTGTTCGGTATAGAGCCATGATTACTAACTTTTTCATTCCAGAATTGAACAATCATGATGTCCAGGAGCTGTGGTTCCAACAAGACAGCGCAACATGTCACACAGCTCGTGCTACAATCGATTTATTGAAAAACACGTTTGGTGACCGCCTAATTTCACGTTTTGGACCTGTGAATTGGCCTCCAAGATGATTTAACACCGCTAGACTATTTTCTGTGGGGCTATGTAAAGTCAGTGATCTATTAAGCCACAAACGCTTGACCATTTGGAAAACAACATTCGCCATGTTATTACCGATATACGACCACACATGTTGGGAAAGGTCATCGAAAATTGGACGTCCAGATTAGACCACATCCGAGCCAGCCGTGGCAGTCATATGCCAGAAATCATTTAAAATGTAATGCCACAAGATTACCTTTCGAATAAAAAAAATTAATGTCAATCGAATAATCCATCGTTTTTTTATTGCAATTTAAATTTCTATACCTCTAAAAAACACCCGTTAGATTGTTCCACAATCTCGGCACCCTCAGGACAAAGGAGCGGTCGTATCAGCCAGTTCTGGATGTAAGAAGTTCGACACGGTTAGGATGGAGGTTATCTGTGTTAAGAACCTAGTTACCTTATATGAAGTTTGGAGAGATTTGCAAAAAAATGTAAACAAAACACAAGAAGTGTTTGAACAACGCCGACAACAGTTTGTTACGAACTTGGACAATCCGTTTGAAATTGCGCATGCCGATGCCATTCAATTGATGAAAGTAAGTGAAGATAAGATTTTGCAGCGGCAAAGAGAGCCAGGTCCACCTGATGATCATTTAGCTGGGGTGGACAAGAAATTAGCCATAAAAAAAGAAAAGGCGCGTCTTAGGAACACCTAAGAACAAAAGCGGTGAGCTAAATATGTTGCTTCATTAACTCCTACGACATCATCTTACGAACCAGTGCAAGAAAATTCATCTTCAGATTCCGAGATGGAATTACAAGAAACTTTTCTTATCCCAACTCAGAGCACACAGTCTGATACTAATCAAACACAAATGAGGAAAATTCTCATAACTCCAAAATTAGTGTCAACATTAGATAGGTGACAGTTAAGTACACTGACGAGTTTCCTATAAGCAAGTCCTCCATTCAAAGAATTCGCACCGAAAAGCGAAAGGAGCGCGCAGAAGCTAGAAAGCTTGATTTCCAAAGCTAGGTACCGGATACTCTAACTGTCCACTGGATGGCAAATTGTTGCACCTTTAAATGCAAGCAAGTCTAACGAAGAACGTCTACCGATTGTTACAACGTATGAAAATAAAGAGCAACTTATCGTTGTGCCCGAATTGGATAACTCTTCAGGCAGCGAGCAGGCTCAGGCAGTTTGGGATGCTAATATCAATCAATAACCTTTATTTCCATACAGACAATATATAATTGTATTGGAATTGTCAATTTTTCGTTCGCTACAAACCTACAACTAATCTCAAATTGCAATGTTCAAAAATTCGTCAACACGATAAAAGCACTTGTATCAAAAATTGCTTCAACTGGAACTTGAAGTCGTTAATATTTTTAACCGAGGTAATGTGGCATGGTAAATTATTATAAAGAAGCGGACCAATTTTATTAGGTGATCGAAATGCCGCTTTTGATTTGCTGAAGTTTACATATAAATTATTACAAGTCCTTGTATCATAATTATGCATATCACAATTTTGCTTGAATTTTTCATTATTTTTAAAAATATGTAAGCACAATTCATATATATACAACGAAGGGACAGTTAAAATGTTGAACCTTATAAAATATTTTTTGCAACTTTCTGTTGGTGAGATGCCTGCTAATGATCGGGTGCATCTTTTTTGAGACACAAATACATCTTCAGAGCGCGTTGACCAACCCCAGAAACATACTCCATATCTTAATCTCGAATCCACATTAGCAAAATTGTATCAATTGTTCAGCTGTTAAGATGGTTTTTAATTACCTCAACACATAGCTTTGAGAGTACATTTTTGATGTGAGAAATTCGCAGTGGGCCTTCCAATTTAAGTTCTAATCAAAATGAACTCCAAGAAATTTGACTGGAATCTTGAAGATAAAGTTAATATGTTCTATTGTGATAGTACTGTTTCAAATAAGGGTCGTATCAACGGTGCCTGCCTACTTCTAGAACAGAAACCTAATAAACAAATGCTTATTTTTGCTTGGCGCCATCAAAAAGGCGTGTTTGAATCAAAGATCGACCAAGTGACTACAAGCGCAGAAATTTCGCGAGATCTGGAATAGTGTGGATACCGAGAAAATACAGATTTATACTGAAAAGCTATTATATCTGAATATTTCAGAGACTGACAAGCTGCTAGAATTTTATCGACATGAAATGACCAAAGAACTTGCTAGAGGCGACTATCGAGAATTAATAGAACATTCAATAATTCTCCTTGGCGAAGATACAGAAAAAAAATTTAAGATTCGACCGCCAGGCGCCATGCATCAAGCTCGATGGATGGCCAGAGCAATCTATTAATTAAAAATACCGTTGCTAAGTTCCCAGCTTAAACTTTCTAAAAAGGATAAGGTAACCCTGTTAGATATCTGCCTTTCATCGTGACAACACGTGAAACCGTGATTGCAATGCACTTTAGAGGTAAAAGCACCTAACCAGGATTTATGTTTTTTAAAGGCAATGAAGGCTTACGATAGAATTGAGAAGGTCTCTGTTTCATCTCTTTTTGGCTACGACGTAGATGAGGAAACTAAAGTAAAAATTGTTGCTCATTTAGCCAAAGAAAGTCCATCAGCCTACGGTAAACACTACATCACATCGAAAGTACTTTTTGGCCCACTTTATGGTAAGTCTGACGAATAAATTTTCTGTTGTCTTCTTATAGTGCTTCGATACAATATACTAACTGTTAAAATAAGCCAGCATAAACTGCGATTCTAGCAATAGATGGCACTTTATACTGTCTTGGTTCGTTAGATCTTATACATCAGATAGAGGTCAGTTGCTATGTTTTCGTTCGTTGTCGTGACCTGAGGCCAAGCCTAGACGATGCTGATGAGTTGCCAAAAAGCAAAAAACATCTGTTCATGGTTGACTGTCTGTAGTCAGACGGACAAAACCAGTATGCTTAGATCGTTTTTTTCATTTCAGAGAAAATATCGATGACTTTGTTTCCAATCAAAGTCAAGTCGACTCAAAATTTGATTACAGTTTTCTCGACGTGTATCCAACTTCATGGCCACATAATGATTATTTTCAACACGCTAAAAGTAAGGTGTAAATAATGAGAGCAATTAACGATACGGCAGAAAGAACAGAGTCAAGTTAATGTAAGACTTCCATGGCTTAATTGCTGCTGATGAGGAACAGAAACAACTTTTATTATGTTGCGTACAAGAACGCAGGCAGGTATATCCTGACTATAAAAAGAAAACTTCGAAAAGAAAATGTAATAAATATGTAATGTTCTTTTAATGATAAATATCTAAAAAATATAAGTTACAAATAAAGCAGTATTTTATTTGTAGAATAAGAATTAGGTTTTTATATCCATACATGTTTTCCCTATAAACTTTCAAATCCAAAGTTTGACCGAAACTCATAATATGCTAAAGCTGCACACTGCGCAAGCCGATCCATTACACAGCTACTACGAGGTCAGTAAATTAAGCAATGAGACTGGT